AAAAAAAAAAAAAGGCAAAGACCTTTGCAACATTGAATTATTATGGAAATTCCAGTGGTGGTACCTTCTGCCGGTCACCGAGTTCTCACTGTAAACGGCAGCTGGGCCAGTCGAGGGGTCAATTAACAGCTAATAACCCTTGTGTGTGAATACAGTCTCTTGAGCAGGGAAAGCCAGTGTCCAGCTGAAGGAAATACCGAGAGGAGCACCTCTGCTCCACCACAGCTTCTGCAGCCAGATGCCGACGATTCCATTGCATTTTTTAAAATAATGAAAATTATCACAACTACTTGCAAGAACAAAGATTTGAAGCACCTGCTCCTTCACCTCTTTAAATCATATTCTACCTAGTGTAACACTCAAATTACTGTTATGGACTAATATGGAGACTAATATGGAGTCAAAAACCCAATAAATATGGGTGTAAGTCCACCTCAGAGAGTCTAATATAAAAGTAACCAATCCTTGCCCCTAACCTGTTAAACCTCTGCTGCCAGGGATGAGGCGAATGAAGGATTAGAACAAAGGGGAGGGGCGCCTTTGTCCTGAGATTGGCGGCTCCTTTCTCTTTTTCTCCAGGTAAACACAGCTGTGCAGTTGATCTTGGTGGCAGCTTCCTTGGCAGCTCCAGTTTTCAATTATGCTGACAGTGTTTATCTTCAGGTGCTGTGGTGAGTTAAATTTGAGTTACTCTCTGCCAGTGACTGACAAAAAGACTTGACAGTCCTAGAACTACTTGGTTTTTAGTCTTTATTGAGCTGTGGACTCTATTTTATGATTGATGCTATTCTTCAGTATCAAGTACAGGATACAGCAATTTGAGGACTTTTCTTGCAGTTCAGAAAGGATGGAGGTATAGATCATGTGTTGGGGAAAGTAACTTCCAGGTGGTCAGGAGAAGGAAAGCCTGCGAGGAGGAAGCAGTGGTTAAGCCATGAGCCCCGTGGGAGGCCAGGGGAGAGCTGTGGGGAGCAGTTGAGGCAGCAGAGAGGGCCCAGCCTACTGCAGGGCCACAGTGGGGGGCACTTGGAGAAAGGAGTTGGATTTAGTTGAGGAGGCTTGTTTATAGCCTTGAAAATGGCCACATCTAAACTGTGAGCCCCAAATACACACACTGATGTGGAAGCACTACATTTTAGTATAGCTTTAACAATACAATGAAAATTTCTTGACTGATGCAGTTTAAGTCAGAAAGTGATTGGTTAAATCTAATTTAAAGAAGCTTTAAAATTAAATGCATGCCAAACATTTAATTTTCTAAGATATACAAGTGTACATTCATTCTGATTCCACTTAATGTCTCCTGATACAAGACTAATGCCTTTTCTTGAGGATAGGCCCATCAGTGAGGTTTTCTTTTCTTGCAAAGACTGTAATACAATCTCTGATTTTCACTTCTTATTTAAAGTGAAATATATACGAATTTAAACACGTGTTCTAAGCAGTCTGAATGTAGGAACCTTTTATATTTTAACCATTTTTTCCCTCCAGTTTTATAATGTTGCCATTGCCTTATTACATTGGACAATATTTTTCATTAACTCTTAGGAATAGCAATTCTTTCCACACTTAGTTGTTTCACATGTTTTGTTTAATTTGGGATCAAACAAAAGTGAGACTTGATGATGCTGTACCTTGACCAGTGACAGCATGGGTGCTTGGATGCACTGAAAAGTAGCCTGTTAGCGGCAGTCACTCAGTAAGCCACGAGAATTTTGTTAGCCTACCAATTCACTTAAGGAATAATCAGTAAAAGAAAATTGAAGTTTACTTTAAATGATTCATAGTAGAATTCTCAGTCTGCAGGAAATAGAGTTCGGTGATCTAAGTAGCAGGGAGGATCACATGGTCTCGTGAGCTAAAACAAAGCCACGTTCCAGCACAGTTCATGGCTGAGCAAGACTGTGGGCTCCGGTTCCTGCTCTGTAAGATGAGGTTGCGGTGAAAGTGAGAACAGAAGCTACTAGAATAATGTCTGGGTAAAAAGCACAGTTTACTGGTAGTATTTTTTTCACTCTCATTAACACGATTATTTGATATTACAATGCAAATGAAGTCTTAAGGAAAGGCCATTGTATTTTGATTCTTGTAGTTAAAATCATATTGGTATAGCCCTTTCTACTTTTTAAAATATCTTTTAAATTTATTCTTTATGGATATTCATAGTTACTGTTTTTTGGATTTGACACTGTTTTCTTTTTTCCATAAAAGGTGTTTTACAGCTTTTACCACAGCTGCATCAGCTTACAGTTATTATCATTATGGTCGGAAAACTGTTCAGGTGATCAAAGGCAGATGAAAGTCACCCGTCATCATCGCAAAGAGCAATATACAGCATCGTGGGCAGCAGAGCCAGTGAAAATCTATAGGCGTTTCCCTGTTGGGGTGTTCAGCTTGAAAAAGGACTTGTCAGAAAAACCATGTCATCAAAATTTAAGTAATATGCATTGAAATAATCTTGATCATGGGCATATGCAGAATTTGCAATGTATTTTTAAATACAAATAAAACTATAATTTAGAGTTTTTTATCTTAGGTTTCTTAATTAACTTATGAGGTACCAATCATAAAAAAAAATCGTCATTTTTACATGTGTTTAAAACAAATCGTGCAGAGAGTTGCCACTGTAAGTAGAATTTAGATTGCTCCCGAAGTACTAAGGAACTTCTGGGTTTAACTATATATCCTATAGCACTTAGTTGTGCATTTTTATATTTGATTTTTAGATGTATGCACCCAGTAATAGTTTGTGTGGTTCATCCGTGGTCATTTAGTGTAATGACAAGAAAGGTAGCTTAGTTGTAGATGATGTAACCTTGTATAGAGATTTGAAATACCTTAATTTTTGAAAATAAATAAGAACAAAAGGTACTGGAGTTCATGTTCGTCTTCCAACCTCTCAGGGGCCTAATAGTTGATGTATCAGAGTAAGTAAAAGAGGTAGTGGGACTAGGAGAGCCTATCATAGACTCTGCCATCCAAGAGGCAGTGACATCGCGCCTGCCCGTTGTGTCTCTGACAGAGCAGTGCTTCTGTGATACTGGAACCTGTACTCATGTAAATAATATGAAACTGTTTATTTTTCAACGATTTTTTTTAAACTTTGGGGTTCTTAAGATGTTAAAAGAATAAAAGCTGGGGAGAAAAGTGTACCCTTGACTTGGGTTGTTTTGTGTAAAATATTGTGGTCCTCAGTTGCTGGGTAAGTCTTATGGTTCATAAAGTCCATTCAGATGTATCGCTTGTACTTAGTGTAAAAATAATTGGTTTGGGGCCATCTGTCCTAAAAGCCCTTCTTTGCATTACATTGTCATGTTTAGGAGAGTGAGAGGTTTAGGGAGAGGGAAGAAGGTAGGGCCGGGGCTGGGCACAGCCTCTAGTTCTTGCTGCGCATGTGCCCCTCAAGCCCAATGTGAAATCCTACAGTGAGGTCATCCAGACACTGCCCGACAAGCTGTGTAAAGTTGAAATGGGGAATCAAGCAAATGCATGCCCCAAAGGGAGGCATCTGTGTCCCCTGAAGCCTGGGTAAGGAGCTGCCTGTCAATGGGAGGGAGGCAGTGAGGCAACAGAGGGTGGTGTCTGGCTGACCCTTCTCCCCTTCTGCGACCTCCTGTATCATTTCAGAGCCTGGGAGGAGGTGAGACTGGAGGTGGAAATCCCCCTGCTGGGATAGGAAGAGAATAGGTAAGAGACACCTGTCTCAGCACTAGGAAAGCCTGAAAACACAAAAATGTTTTTAAAAAGCAGGACTTAAAGTAGTTCTGGGAAAATTAGAATTTTGTGCCTTATTCTGCTTTTTTTTAATGACTTAGTGTTGGTGCTATTTATAGTGACATGGGTTGGACCCATCGTCTTTTTAGTATTAAGATCTGGTTAATACTACTTTTTGCCTCAGTTCTAAGAGAAATGATTGAAATCTCAGGCTTTTGAATATGGAACAATTCCAAAACATATACATGCCACTAATTTATAAAATGTATTGGAACTAGACGTGATTGATGACTACATTGATGCATCTCATTCAAATCATGACAAATTCATTTTGGTACCTCTGTTGTGGCTGACTCATTCTTGATAGTTGAAAAAGACATTGGGACAATTTATATATCTGAGAACTGCATAGAAATTAGTCACATTTTTGGCTTTTTCTTTGCAATTTTTAATCAAACTGGTAAATAGCTTTTAGTCATCTTCATTCGATTCAAAAAGATGTTCAATGGCCCTCCCTGGTGGCGCAGCGGGTTAAAGCACAGCACTGAGAATCTAAAGCCGCTTCAGCATGAGTTCGATTCCCGCCTGCCCCGGAGGAGATCCACATGGCACAGCAGACCTCTCCTGACCCCTCAGCACTGCTCCCCTCAGCAGTGTACTTCGTTGATCTGCCTGTTCTGTTCCCCACTCTGTCTCTGGTGAAGCCTCTCACCGCCCCTGAGCCTCTGGCCTGTACCCCAGTTCTGTATGCACAAATAAATAAATCTTTAAAAAAAAAAAAAAAAAAAAAGATGTTCAAGTTCTAATTTCCCCCCTCCAGTATCTGTGAATGTGACATTTAAAAATAGGGTCTTTGCAGATATAGTCAAGCTAAAATGAGATACTGGATTTGTGTGTCCTAAACAGAAAGCCCAGGTTCTTTATAAGAAGAGGAAATTTTGACATCTAGTAAATTATCAAAGGAAATGAAATCATAGTTTCAGAGATCTGCACTCCCATGTTCATTGAAGCATTATTTAAAAAGTTAAAATGGGGCCCTCCCTGGTGGCACAGCGGGTTAAAGCACTGCACTAAGAAGCTTAAGCCTCTTCCGCATGAGTTCGATCCCCACCTGCCCCGGAGGAGATCCACATGGCACAGCAGACCTCTCCTGACCCCTCAGCACTGCTCCCCTCAGCAGTGTACTTCATAGATCTGCCTGTTCTGCTCCCCACTCTGTCTCTGGTGAATCCTCTCACCCTCCGCATCTCTGGCCTGCTCCCCAGTTCTGTATGAATAAATAAATAAATCTTTAAAAAAAAAAAGTTAAAATGTGGAAATATCCTACGTGTCTCTGTGAGAATGGGTAAATTGTGTGTGGGGGGGTGTGTAATATATTGTGTATACACACAATGGAATATTAATCCATAAAAGGAAAGAAGTCCTTTTACTTGTGACTGGATGAACCTGAGGACATTATACTAGGTGAAATCAGAGAAAAATTATGTATGAACGCATGGGATCTTAAACAGGCTGGTTGCCCCCAGGAGTGGGCTAATGGTTGAAGGGGTCAAGGGTACAAACTTGCATTATAAGATGAGTAAATTCCAGGGATCTGAGAGTGACTACAGATATGAATACTGTGCTGGAAGTTGCTAAGAGAGTAGTTCTAAAGTTCTCAACTCTGCACACAAGCTAACTGACCTGAAGGATGTGTTTAGCAACATTGTGGTCATCATTTCCCAGTATACATATGTATCAGATCATGTTGAACACCTCAGATATACACAGTGTTTATATGTCAGTTATATCTCAATCAAACTAGGGTGAAACGAAAATGAAAACAAAAAGAAATTTGGACACAGAATGCCACAAGACGGTGAAAACACAGAGGAGAGTGAGATATCTGAGCCAGGGACACCCAGGCTTTCTGGCAGCCAGGCGAGGGGCAGTTTCAAGAAGGAACTAAGGTATCCTGCTGTCAACTTGATTGTGCATTTCTGTACTAAACTGTAAGACAATAAATTTGTCATGTAAAGCCACATCGTTTGTGGTAATTTGTCACAGGAGCCACAGGATACTAATAAATACTAATGTAGAAAATTAAAATCTAGAAATAGGGCCTCAGTCATAATTTCATAAAATCACTTTTCTCCCTAAGTTTGTATTAAAGGGAAGTAGTGAAGGGCAAGGCATACCCACACTCAGCTTCATATTAAATGTGTGAAGCACAGATTTTGATGCAATTGGGTGGGAGCAGGGAAATGCTTTGGCTTCAAACTGGAGCCACAGGTTAATCTTTTGTTCTTTTCTCTAAAAAAAAGCCCCTTACTGGGAACTTACACCTCCTTAAGTTTATAGTTCCTTTGTCCACTACAATGCCAGAAGCACTGAATTTTAAAAGGTCAGCCTTGTGTTTCACAAATGTTCCCAGAAGACTCTAGGAACTTTAAGCACATTTGGAGGGTGTGGGATGGGTGCGCACGCAGGGGACAGGATCTTCAAATGGAACCTGGAAAGACCTGGGAAGCACAGCCAGGACTCTTCTTCGTCACCCCCACCCAGTTCTCAGATTTAGAGCCCACTGGATTCCTGAATAATAGGAGCCTCAGTCAAAGCTTGTCTAAGAAATTTCACTTCCAGTGAGGCCAGAGAGGCTAGCTTACGTGATTTCTGTTGTATCCCTTCCTGCTGGGCACATAATTCCCTTTTACAGACTCTGAGGGACACTGACTACTGAAAATCCCAAACAAAACAGCACACTAGAATGCCTGGTGGTATTAGGTGTGGTCTGGCATAGACCCACATGTTTCTGGGAACCAAGAAGTAAAAGAAAATTGTTTCGTGGAATGAGATGCCCAGCTATCAAACACTTCCTTGTGTGTATCAGTGCTGGCTGCACGAAAATCAGAACCCTCCAAAGCTGGCAGGACGGTTTCTAAGCCTCTGGATCTCTGCTCACAGGCAATCAGTTTTCAGTGGAGTTCATCTGCAGGAGAATTCAGGGATTCGAGGGCAAATTCAAGGTCTGGAGCTTTAGCGGGTAGTCAAAGGCTGGGTTTTTGTAGTCCACCAGGTGCGTGTCATAGCGCTGCCGACGAGACCAGGGGCTCCTCCGGCAGAGACAAACAGTCAGCAGCAGTGTGCTGACAAGCAGCAGGCCGCTGGCTGCACACAGCCCCCCGAAGATGAGCACGAAGCTGGGCTTGGTGGTGAAGGTGGCACAGGCTCCGCCCCAACCCTCAGCCCCAGAGGGGCTCAGGCCCGCCCTGTTGGCAGCCAGCACGCACACCAGGTACGTGGTGCCTGGCTCGAGCCCATACAAGGGGTGCTGTCGGGCGGTGGCATAGATGTCCCCCACTACCGACTGGTTCCCCGGCCATCCCGTGGGAGCATAGTGGATCTGGTACCCCTGCACCACTGAGTTGGGGGCACACCAGCTGATCAGCGCTGAGGTGTCTGTGGTTTCCGACACCCCCTGCAGCTTGGGAGGGTCTGGGAGGGTGTCTTCCCTGCTGAGACCAGGACACAGGCACTTGGATCGCCTCTGCAGCTCCCCGCAGGGGGTCTGGAGGTGCTTACAGGGGTGGTAGTCGCAGGGGACACCCTGGGCCAATGCTCCCACCTTCTCCCCCTCCTCCTCCTCCTCCTCCTCACTGGAGTCATCCAGCATCAGGACTGGAATCTCGCCCTGGGTAGGACTCGCGTGCGGAGCCTGCAGAGATGCCCGTGTCCTCTGGCCCAGCTGGGGTGCGCTCACTGGGTTCCGGGAGGCCGGGAAGAGACCGAGGTGTTTGCTGGCCCAGGGGATGGAGGCTGCTGAGACATTAGGTTCCAGGACAAGCAGGTCGACATTTTCCTGGCGTTCTGTCCAGGCTGTGCTTGCCTTGCTGGAAGTTGCTTCCTGGCTGCTGGGGGAGCTCGTGATCAGCTCCCCCACACTGTCAAGTAGCCTCGCAGCTCCAGGGGAAGAATGGACTCTGGCAGGTTGGGAAGTAGAAGCTGCCGCCGCCAGGGCGGTGGGAACCTGGGTATAGGGAGCGTGGGTGGAGCTGACAGAGGGTGAATGAGGGAGGGTGATGCCTGTGTCCAGTGGGCACACACCCGGCAGCTGGGAGAGCCAGAGTGGGGTTGAGAAGGTGGCGCTGGATCCTATAGCTGGTTTGCACTCAGTCTCTGCTGCCCTAGAGGAGAGACCAGCCAGTCAGAAGGGTTCTGCTTTGAGTCCTCCATGCAGACAATCTTTCTTGCCAAGACTTGTTAACACCTTTGCCAAGGCCACTTGGTATCCACTCTGCAGGAAGCACCTCACGGACCCTCAGGGCAACCTATGGAAGAGGCTCCCCACCTCACCCCCATTGGGCAGAAGAAGAAATGAAAACTCAGAAAGAGGAACTACCTACTTAACATACGTGGGGAGAAAATGGCTGAGCCTAAACACCGGAGCAGGGTGAAGGACACTCAAAGGGGACTCTACCAGGGCTCCGTGGGCCCCAGGGGTAAGAGCAGTTTGGAGGAAGACAAAAGCCACCTGCACTGCAGTGGCATAGATCTGAGGAAGTACCTCGCCTCTTTGGAGGCCAAATCTGCTTGTCTATGTAATGGCAGAGAAAAATTAGCTGTTCACTTAGCCCATTTTCCTTACCTACTGGGCCCACAGCGTCTCTACAGTTCCCAGGCTCCCTTGCAATAGGTGTGGCTGCTGGCTGACTGCCTGCCAATGGGCAGGGATTGGAGGTGGCAGGTGCCACCTCTCAACACAGCCCATTCAAAACCTCTCAGGTTGGCTCCTCTCTGGCTCCTCCCCAGCTCTGTGCTGACTGACAGGACTGAGGACTGGGGCTGGAGCCGCCACCACAGAGGTCCTGTAGTGGGTCTGGCCCGACTACTCAACGCCAACCCGCCCTGCCTGTCTATACAAGTAAGACATGAGATGTGAGAACTTCAGCTCCACAGGGCTCACCCTCCCCTCAATTCCTCTGCTTTGTAAATGTGTTACCTGCTTAAGATGGTCTTTGTATCCTTAAAGAGCCAAGACAGTTCACAGCTGCAAGTGAGGGGGTTGCCGAAGAGGTTGATGGATAGCACTTGGGAGGAATGCAGGGTCCAAGGTGGGAAGGAGCTCAAGTTGCAGCTGGAATACATAGAAAATCAATGAAATCTGACTTCTACATTATCTATTCCCACATCATCACAGTGGGGTCATGGGAAAATCATCCTATGCAGGGTTAGAGGATGTTACTTTGGGCAAAACTCTTAATGACTTGGACTTCAGTTTGGTCATTGAGGTAGAGATACACCCCAACTCAGTCAACATCATCACTCACATCACATGCAGACAGCACTCATGCTCGCGGGTCACATCAAAAAGAGTGTGTGAGGGCCTGGGCTGGTCAGCCAAGGAATTTACCTCGCCTTCCTGCCAGGTAAAGCATGGGAAGGCAGGAGATTCACCTGGATTTAAACCAGACAGATCTCAGGGGTTTTCCTACTACCTAGGACAAGGTGGAGTTGCACGGTTATTAGGCTGGATGGGTGCTCTGGGGTCTGCCAAGGAATGAGGATGAGCACCCCTGACAGCCCCCAATAGGACAGGAAGGAACAGTGGGAGGAGAATTAATGTCTGGCTTGTTCTGCAATTACACATATTACATAAAGATGGGCAAAAATCAGCCAGATGATTCAGATGCACCTCAGAAACACTTACTTCTGGAATAGAAGTTGCTGCAGGTGAGGCGTGTCTTGAAAGATGGGCGTGTGGACAGAGGTAAGTGCTGGGGAGTCTTGACAATCGAGCTGCTGCAGTTCAGGGCTCATCTTGAAAATGTCCCCCTCCAGGCTCCTGAGCCTGGGCATCTTCCTCAGGTAGAGAGACGTAAGCTTCGGCAGGTCTCTGATCCACCCTGAAACTGGAACAAGGGAAGCTGCCATCTATCAGAAAGTACAGACCCAGGAGGCCCACGTGGCATTAAGGAAACAGCGAGAGTGACAAGGTGAGTTGGGAAGGTCATTGTTGAGCATGAGCGCAGTTTTCAGCTTTAGGTGTCTCAGAAATGAACCCAGACATGACCTGTCGGTCCTGTTTCCAGCCAGAGTGAGCCAAGGCCAGAGGGGGGAGTTGTGTAGCTCAAGGTCACACAGCGGGGACAGGTCAGAAGACCTGAACCCAGAACGTTGCCTCCAATACCCACTGCCCTGCCCTTTTTTTCACGCTCCACCCAGAAATACCCCAGAGTTCACTCTGAGGCTACCTACTAGCGGGGACTAGGGAAATTTTTCAGGGAGGTAAGGAGAGGAGGAGCAATACTGGGGAGGCCCCCAAACCAGTCCTTCCTCTCTTTCCCTTTCTCTGTCTCTTTTAAACTCTTTGCGGTGGAACACGTGATTACAGGCACATAAAATGTTCTTAAAAAAATAATAAAGCCAGGCCCTACCTGGTGGCGCAGCGGGTTAAAACACAGAACTGAGAATCTAAAGCCGCTTCCGCATGAGTTCGATCCCCGCAGGCCCAGAGGTGACCACATGGTGTGGCAGACCTCTCCTGACCCGCCCGCTGCTCCCCTCAGCAGTGTACTTAGTCAGCCTGATCTGCTCCCCACTCTGGCTCTGGTGAAGCCTCTCACCGCCCCTGAGCCTCTGGCCTGTACCCCAGTTCTGTACGTACAAATAAATAAATCTTTAAAAATAATAATAATAATAATAAAGCCGACCTTGTGAATCAGAACCAGAAGCACCAAGTATGGGGAAGTATAATTCTCATCTAGTTTCTTATTTGAATGATTCAACATCTTCAGAAACAATTTTAGCTAAAGAAGTAGCAAAATCTGAATTCGCCCTCTGAGAATCAGTTGCTTCCCACCATGTTTGGTGCTAAGTCCAAACCAGCCCCCGGGCGGTGCATCCACTTCCCTATTCCTTAGCTTAGCAGCTGTGCTGGGAAGCAGTGCAACAGCGGGGTGGCGTGGGCTCAGGACCCAGATTGCCAGGATTTGGATTTGGGGGCACCGTCACGGAACTGTGAGACCGCGCCTAATCGGTCACCCATGTCCCTTCATTTCCACAACGGAGATACTAGTGGCTCCCACCTCTTGGGACTCAAGGAGTTACCCCTGTGTGGAGCAGGCTTAGCTCAGGTGGAATTATGCTGCTCAGCAGTGTGAACGAAGCACGGGATCACCACCCAGCCACGCTCGTGGCCCTCCCGGAGCGCGCGGGCCCTGCCAACCCCCGCGCGGGGACTCACCCTGCGTGAGGAAAGTGCTGCTCAGGTCCAGGACCTCGAGCTGGGCCAGGGGCGCGCCGCCAGCTCCTGTGAAGGCCGCGTCCGCGATGCCCGCTTGGGCGCCGAGGCCCAGCGCGGTGGAGGAGAGGTTGAGAAGCTGAAGCTCCGGGAAGCAGGAGAAGGCCCCGGGCTGCAGCCCCTGCAGCGGGTTCCCCGTGAGCGTCAGCACGCGGAGGCGGCTCCGCTCCGGCCCGGCGCACTGCGGCAGGGCTGTCAGCTGGTTGTAGCTGAGATCCAGGGTGTGCAGCCCCGCGGGCCCGCCGGGGCCCCAGTGCAGCGAGGCGATGTGATTGTGGCGCAGCGTCAGCACCTGCAGCTCCGGCAGGCGGCCGAGCTCCTGCGCGCTCAGGGCGCGGAGCAGGTTGTGGCTGCCGTCGAGGCTGCGCAGCGAACGCGGTAGGCAGCTGGGCAGGCGCTCCAGACTGCGGTTGATGGGACTGAAGACCTCGGTTCCTGCGGCCAGGAGCCCCTCGCAGGGCGCCATCGTGGTGTTGCTGGGCCCGCTCGGCCAGGGGCCTTGCTGAATGAGTCTGAAGATCGGGGCCTTCTCCAGGAGGAGCCCTGCGCGGCTCCGGCGCAGCGCCCTAGGCAGCATTAGCAGCGACAACAGCAGGACCCACCTCATGGCCTGAGTCCGGGCAGAGAACAGCGACAGCCAGTTGAATTCAGCAGAAACACAGAACGAAGTAGGTGAATATGGCCCCCTAACCCGGGCTTTGAAGGGGAGAGTAGGCCTGGAAAGTCCCAGAAGGGTTGGGGACTGGTCTCCCTGACATCTTCCCAACCAGCCCCTCCCCCCCAGCCAGGTTTCTGCCCTTCTTCCTCCCAGCACCCCCTTCCCTGTAATTCTAATGCTAATGTAGATTAGCACCCACAGGTCAGCATCTGGCCCTAAACCTCCCAGGAACTCCCAGTACTTGTCCCCATGACCTGAATTTCCAGAGGGAAGGAGCCTCCCCCTTTGTCTTGTAAACTCTCTCCAGGTGCACAGACATTGCTCCATAAATGTCTATCAAAAATCAGCCCAGGAATGAGCTAAACCCAGAGGGAATTCTACTGCAATATAAATAAGGGACTTAACGATATCGTGAGTTCCAAAGAAACACAATTGCTCCAACTTTTCCCCTTAGAACTAACTGCTGAGCTGTGCTTGGGTCCTGGTTGTATGTGACTTGACTCGCAGGTCAGATTTTAAGAAGTTTTAAAGCAGGTGTATTGGGGGCGGAGGTGCACTCAGGGCTACCTTTAGGAATGAAAAGAGCCCCAGGCAGCATGAAACTTGGGGACTTAGAGTTCCTGGTGCCACCTTGGGCCAACAAAAACCAGGGCTCGCGAGGTCAGCCTTGCCCAGAAGGCCTGTATGCAATTTCTGGAGTATCCGAGTTGCAAGGCCCAGCTGGGAGCTCAGGAAGCTGTGAGCCACAGTTGTGGGTTGGCTTGGGGTTAGTGTTTGCCATCCCCCTATTTCCAAAGGTGTGCGATCCATTCTCTGCCAACTCCTGTCTGAGCATCCATCCAGGCCCCAGGGGAAGGCTGCCCTTGGCTAAGTAGAGGTCAAGGCTTTGTAAAAGTTCCCAGAGACCTGAGATCAGGAATCCATGGTAATTCATGCTCACCTGAAAGCTCTTCTGGAGCCGGTGCCCCTGGATGGCCTTTGCCGTCCTCAATCTTGGCTTGTAGATTCCAGGACTCAGTGATTTAGCAGCTCAACTCTGAATTCCAGAGGGAGGTCTGCTTTCCAGATGCCTCTGCCCCCAGCCTCACTCCCTGAGCTATTGCACAGCCCCTGCAGCCCCTCCTTCCAGCAGAGACATTGTGGTCTGCAGCCAATACCCACTCTGGGCCAGGGCCTGGGCGTGCCCCTCTTCAGGCCTGGCACCTCCTCCTTCCCTCCCCCATCTTCATCTCTCCTCTCAGCACCTTTCCTGTTGGAGAAGGGGGGGGGGAGAAGAGGGGGAGGCCACGCTCCCAGGCCAAGATGAACACTGAGGGCTAAGGAAGGCAGATGAGTTGCACCATCATCTCCCAGGAATCTGGTCTTCATGCCAGGTGGCTCCTGTCTATGGGGATGGTTGAGGGCAGAATGAAGGGGGAGGTTCCCTTCCCCAGAGGAGGGAGATTCCCTAATGGGTGATAAGGCTTGCAGAGACTTACAGGGAAAAGTGGCTAGAGAGAAGTCTGGGATCAGGGGCTAATCTCAAACCAGATCCAAGAGTTTTCAGGAAGGGTGGTGATTTCGGTTTTCCTTGGACCCTGTTTGGTGACAGTATGAATGTTCATGTCTCCTAAGTCATGGCAGTAAAGAGGACAGAAATGCAGAAGGAGCATCCCTTTCTCCTGGCCACGGTGACCGATCCAGTAATCCAGAACTCCAGTCTCCCTGAAGCTGTGGGGATGCTGAGTGGGTTTTATTTGGAGCAGACAGTGCCCTTCCCCATGGAGTTCCAAATTTGGTCATCTGCTGTGAGGCCTTTGATTCATGCCACACAACCCTGCCTCTACTCAGCCTGGCCTGTGTTCTGCGGCTCAGGGACGACTCATCCCAGCGTGTGATATAGGCCCTGACACCAGAAATGCATGGATCTCTCCTCCTGCCAGCCCTTATCTGGACAGTCTCAAGGAATCCCAGGATGCCCCAGAAGGCGCAGCTTGGATTTATTGGATAATTAGAACTCTCAGGGTGTTCTCCTTGGAAGTCTTCTGCACACAAAGCCACGAATCTTTTCTTTCAGCCTAAGTGCCACCCCACACTTTACTGTCCAGGACCCTTCTTCAATCTGCCTCAGGCAGAAGTGGGGAGAGGCCTGTCAACACCCAGGGGCCCCCAAGTCTAGAGAGGAAGAAGTCCTGGGAAAGAAAAGAAAGTGAGAGAAGTGGCTGCTGGGACCAAGTATGTGTCACCAGTGCCACACCCCACACACTCCATACCACATATCCCACACACTCCACAACACACACTCCATGCCACACCCCACATACTCCACATGATACACACCGTACCACATATACCACATGGCACACACCACACATACCACACCACACAACACACACTGCGCACACTACACCACACAACACAACACACATACCACACACTCTACATGACACACACCATAACACATACAATACACACACCACACAACACACACCATACCACTTACAACACACACAGCACACAGCACAAAGCACACATACCACACTACATACCGCACCACACAATACACACCACACACCACATACCACACAACACCACACACACCACACCATACCAAATGCAGTACCACATTCACCCCTTTGTTCACCCAAAGGACTCCCTTAACTTGCGTGCTATGCCTCTGACCACCTTGCTCTCCTCTTCCATAGTATGAGTCCCCTCAAAAGTTGAGTCTAGATGGGGACTTGAGCTCAGGTACCTTTTGTGGGAGGTGAGCAAGAAGCAGGGAGAGTGAGATGGGGAAGGGGAGGTGGTGAAGATCTGTTAAGGAGCAGGTCACTAACCCCATGGGGACTCTCTGAGAGATTATGTGGAGCATCCCTCGGGATTGTCCCATCAGTGGTGAGGAAGTGGGGTTATTTACCTCCTCCCACCCCCAGCTTCTGCTTCCTATTGGCTCAAGAGTTCTTTCTGTAGTTTCATTGGTTGGCACACCTTGCTTGCCCTGAGGTGGACTGAGCCCTTCCAGGGAGGGCTCCGAGGGATTAGGTCGGCACTGACAGCATCTGCTACAGCACCCTTCAACATTTTGCCCAAAGGGATCCTCCACTGGTGTTCTGTCCCCGGCATCCTGGGCTAGCGGATGTGGCTGTCCCTGAACTTATGACAAGTCCCTGAGGACGGGGCCATGGTAGCCCAGCTGCCCAAAGCAGAGTTGCATCCAGGACAAACATGCAAAGAATGAACAGGCAAGAGTATTTGGCAAGTCACAATGTCCTCCACAGGCCCAGAGAGGACGAGGCAGGACTTATAACACTGAACATTCCTGCAGTTCTGGCAGCATCAGCCTGACGAGGACTCAGGTGAGGGGTGAGTTGGGTCTGGCCTGGTGGGCGGATGCAAATTAAGTCAGAAAAGTTGCCCATCCTAATTCCCAACACACTCATGGATCTTTGGGAGAAAGATCTCCTGGAAAAGGAGCACAGGTTAGAGTAATAATAAACCCAGAGCCTGCAGGGGAGGAAAAAAAGAGCCGGGAATTGCACACTTGGCCTCACAGTTTTTCTGAAATTAGGTCAAAATCAGTGTCATAGATTCTTGGTCTTAGAAGTGACTTTTTGTTCCGCCCCTTCCTGTCCATTTCAGAGGTCTTGTCCGAGGTCACATAGGAGTCCCCGTTACCAGTGAGGAGGAAGGTCAACCAATTCCCACTAGTCTGTTCATAGGCTTATTGACATAGTTCACCAGTCACCCCTGCCTTGGCATTAGTGAGCCTCATTATGCTCCACTCAACAAGACCACCAGGCATGGTTTCTAAGGGTTCCAACCGCCTGCTATCTCCACCCCAACCCCAGAACTCAGGGAAATTATACCCCCAATACAGGTTGCTCCGGATACCCAGAGCTGGTGCTTTTCAAAGTGTCCTGTCAGACTCCATTCACAGCTATGACAAAGAGGGGTGGAGAGAGGGGGCTGGCCCAGGTGACAGGTAATGGTGTAGCCAGCTGTCTCTGCCCTTGCTCTGCTGAGGACTCTTCCCCACATGCTGGGAGCAGAATGTACAAGATGGAAGGCTGCATTCTTCTCTGACACCAGAGATAAGCTGGGGGGATGGAGGGTGGTGGTGGGAGGAGGCAGTACCAGGCTGTCTGGTCTCTGGGCGGCCAGCTCACACAGAATGGTATGCAGAGAAGAGGCTTTCAAGTGGCGACCGACATAACTTTGTGGGCTGGCCTCCGCTGACGTGGCTGGCCTGCGTGAGGCAGTGATCTTGAGAGGATAAAGTATGGTGGGTTGCGATTCTTGTTTGTTTTCCTATAGAGGTGTCACTCCTTTCAGCACAAGGCTTTGTAGAATTTTAAAAAATACCATCTGAGATTCTTTAAATATCTGTAGCGGAAAAGATTCAAGCTGAAATGAGAGGTCAGATTCATCTGCCATTCTATTTTGCCCGTGGCTGTAAGACAATGACAGGCTATGGGCTCTTTTTATCTCCACATTTTGGAATTCCCCACAGCCCAAACCAGTGCCTGTCTGACAAAGACTTAGGCAGGGACACAGAATACTGGGTTTGCACGTCAACTTTGCTGCTCTTTTAGTGGGTACAAGGTCTGTGTTCTTAAGTTTCTGTCTCATAGTTTTCATCTGTAAAGTGAATGAATTGGTTCAGGTTTAGCAGTTTGGCTCACAGAGCCTGAGAATATGCCAGTAAATGCCTCAGGTGCCGAGGACTTGGAGATGAAGAGGCATGGATTCTACCCTTGCGCAGTCCCCAGCCTAGAAGCTTTGAAACGACAGTTAGACTCGGCCCTGGGAATACTGTCATCCCCCCAAAAGCTGAACTGTGAGTTCTGTTAAGCTGGGGAACGTTGCCAGCTCGCTCACCACTGTATTCCAGTGTCTAGCAATTGCCCACACATAATACACGTTCAGGAAATGTGTGTTGATTGAATGAGGGTCTATTTTATTTACTA